CAAGTGGTTACAAGCAGCGTCATATCGTAGTCATTTCTGCATTTCCGTCAAATCATGCAGAACCCATTGTGATGCAGTTTTTCTCATGCCCATGCCTTCCTTCAGAATGTGAAGCACAGTCATATGTGCCAATTCTGTCTCTCAGGCCAGGTCACGAATTGTATGGTGTCGATCACTCTCCAGTAATGTGGAAAGAGCATACACTTCTTCTTTACTGACACTAGGATGACCTGGCCGACACATGTCTGCCACATTTTGGCGTCCCTTGTTGAAGGCTTTTACCCGCCTTGCCACTGTTCTGTAAGGCAATGCAGATTCCCAAGCCTCTTGAAGACCTTGATGACACTGTTGTGCTGTACGGCCTCTGGCACATTCAATCTTTATCCAATTCCATCGTTCCTGTTTCAATAACATCATGACAACACTATATTAGACCACCAGCTAACATGAGGCTCTGGGCTCTGTTTTTCTCGTCACTGTGAATGCGCGTGATGTGGGAAGGGAGAGTCCATTTGCTCTGAGGTACTGTAGATATGTAACTAATGTGTGGCATAAGCAACGTTATTTGGTTCCATTGCATGGCGTCTCTACAGGAGTGCTGTCACTATTAAAGTTCCAACCCTCATATAAACACAATGCAAGAGACTGAAGTATATACACATGCATGTTTACAGTAAAAGCCTCAGTATTCTGCTCAACTTGGAGAAATACAAAAAAGAAAAGAAATGAAATCAGAAAGACGTTTGCTTAGGATTCTTTCTTTGTCTTCCATAGGAGAACATTCTTAAAACATTGGAATTCTGATGGAACTACAATACACAGCAGACTCTTGTTCCTTTTATCATCACATGGACTCATTTGGACTTACACATTCATAGCAACTTTTAAAAATGGCTACTTGCTGCATTATTTATCTTATACATTGCAAAAGAAAATTGTTAGAATTATGATGGGTGGCAAATCTCATAATTCCTGTAGAGATCTATTTAAGAGACTACAGATCTTAACATTGCCTTGTGAATATACTTGGGGCAATCCAAAAGTTTCCGAAATTTGAATTTTGTGTGTGAATGGTTATGAGTACATCGAAATACCGCTAGGCGTCTCCTCACACATCCTTCTTGAATCAGTGTGGCAAGCAGCTCGAGTTGAGTGGTTGGGTTTATTGTTGGTGAACGTATTTCCATTGTTGTGTTTCCGTGAGTCTGCGGTTTTGCGATGGCTGACCTGAGAGAGCAGCGTGTCTGTATAAAGTTTTGTTTCAAACTTTGGAAAACCGCTGCAGAAACACACCAAACGTTGAAGCAAGATTTTGGTGACAACAGTTTAGGCCAGACACAAACTTACAACTGGTATAAGCATTTTAAAAATGGCCGAACACTGACTGATGATAACGATCGTTTGAGACGGCCGTCAACAGGCAAAACACCAGAAAGTGTCACGAATGTTAGGGATCTGATTCTGCAAGATCGTAGACTGACCATTCAAGACCTCTGTAAGACCTTTGGATTACCGTATTTACGCATGTATAGGCCGCACATTTTTTGCCAAAAATTCAAGAGGAAAACTGGGGTGTGGCTTATATTCGAAATATTCTAAATCACACGCATTTTTTTCGTCAACGTCGAATTTTCTCCCTGCTGCTCGATTTCCGTGTTCTTGTGCGTAACGCACCACTTGAAGTTTAAATTTAGATGTATAACCTGCTCTTACTCGACCCATGTTTCACTCAGAACTAACCAGGCAAGTCAAGTAAAGGCGAAAA